CTTCCCCTTTATTCCCCGATTTATAAAAATCCCAAATAAACCTATTTTCCCTTTATCCCCTGTAAAAAGTCCCAAAAACCTTTGGACCCCCCCCCCTTCTGAGCCTTTGAATTTAAAATAGTAGCCTTTTCCCCCACCCCCCTCCAATTTATATCTGAATTTTTTGAATAAAATTGCACCATACTGTTTCCCCTTTTCATTTTAACATTTCCTCATACAAACTTTCTCCAAATCAAATCGGGCTCTTTCTCATTTCCCAAAATATGTTTTTCCTCGCTGTCCAATCAGAAAATTCATTAAAATTTAAATTTAATCATCCCAAAAAAAACTTTCCATCTACCCCGTACCTTCACTTTTTCCCCCCTTTTATGAACCCTTTCCCCCTTTGCTTTCGCTTTTTAAAACGTTTTTTTCCTATTACTTTCAGAGGCAGCAAATTTTAAAGGGCCCCCGCTGCACCTGTCCATAAATAAAGCCCCCAAAAATTTAAAGATTAGTAGTTTTTTTTTTTTCCCGTATATTCCTTCACCCTATGTTCAAAGGGTTTTTCAAAGTTAAATCAGCAGGGATAACAATAAGACAAAAGAGCAAACAATCCTTTAATTTTGGTTACGCCTTTAGAATACGAGAGGGAGTGGTCTAGACCCGTTTTTTAAATGAATGTGATTCACGCCAGGGCCCCAAAAACCTTAAACACGTTTGGGTGACGAGCTGGCTCTCAAGTTTTGCGTTTTAATTGTACATTTAATATACCAGTGGGGCCCCAGAACTTTCTGTTATTGAACTGCCAGTTTTTTTGGTCAAAAGGGCAGGGCAATGTGTGTGTGATGAAAACTCAAAAAAATTGTAACATTCTATTGTACCACAGTTTCCTAGACTTTCTAGGTTTAAATTTATCCACTTCAAAAATTTTTTTTTTTTCTCACTAAATTTTAAAAACTCCACCATACTTTTTTTAAGCTGTTTTTCTTGCTTTAAATTTCCTTTTTTTTTCATATCTTTTTATTCTTTCCCTAAAACTCATTTGCCAAAGTTTTTTTTTTCCTTACCATCCTCTTTTTCTCATCATTCCACCAATTCCCCTCCTCTTCCCCTTCCCGCCCCCCATTATCCTATACCCCCAATTTCTTGTAAATATAAAATTTTCATCTTTAATCCCCCTTTTTAAACCCCCTATGATCCCCCCTCTTTTTATTATCTGTAAATCTCTCTAGACCCCTTTTCCCTAATAGTTACTTATATATTTTCCCTAAATATCCCTTTTTTTTATAACCCTTTTTACTTTTTTCTTACTCCTTTGACATTCTTTTTGTTCCCCCCATTTACCTCTTTCCCCATTGTAACCACCCTAAAAAAAATTTATCCATAAATGTGTCGTCCCTGTAAAAAAATCACTTCCCCCCAAAATTTCTTCAATTCATTTTTCAATAAAGGTTTTTCAATTTAAACCCCCATAAAACATTTTTCGAGGCTTATTTATGTGCATTTTCCTGATCAAAGAAATCGTAAAAACAAAGATTGGAAAAAAAATCCAGGGAAAAAGGGGCCCCGAACCCATGGAAGGCGAGTCTTAAAATTCAGAGGTCGGTGCTTCACCACTGGTCCATGGCGGCCTTACAACATTCATCCAGCTATGTATTTTTCTATATACCATAGTGAGGCTCATACTAACATTGCTATAATGTTTAGAAGTACACTGATCTGGCTGAATCTTTTAGGACGGCATACCCAAGATTTAAGCACACTGACTGGCTAGTTTCATGACTCGCCTGCCATGGGTACTCCTGGCACCCAAACTTGCCTACTATATCCACTACAAAAGCTTCTCCTACTTTAGTATTTAAACCCAACAAAAATTATTTTTTTTTTACGTGATATATAATTCCACTAACACTCTTAATATCTCCCCAAATCTCTCTCCTGTACACTCACCTCCTCCCAGGTGTACCCAGAAAATAAAATTTATGTGTGTTTGGGGCGAATTAAAAAAAAAAACTTACAGTTTGGAAGCAAACATTTTTTGACTCGAATAAGACTTAAATGAGTGAAATCTGAAAAAAAATTACCTTTTTATGTTGTATTGAAACTGACCAAAATTGCGGCGCTCTTGTCAACATCGGCGCTAAAACGTCAATTAGATTTTCAGGTTTCTGATTTTTCTAAGCCGAACTAAATGCTATTTAGAATTTTTTAGTATGCACTGGTTAACGTTAATTACCACATTTTGCAGTGAAAATATCCTGATTTCAAGCAAACTCTATTACTATAAATAGCTCAGCAAGCACAATGTACCATAAGAATAATATTCATCAAATATTTGTACAAAAACATGATTTATCTTAAGACACATGTGCAACATCTGGATATCTGTATTGTAAACGTTTCGCCATCCAGTGGCTTTATCAATACAAATTCTAGGACATAACTAGAAGACACGTCCTTATCCGCTGACGCCTATATAAGCGCCAGTCTCCTTGCCTGCGCTCCAGAATCTCTACGATCACGGTGCTCTCCACACCAACTCCAAGGCTGAGGGACTGATTACCTCAACTTTTGTATATAGTTCTACTGTCTTCTAGTTATGTCCTAGAATCTGTATTGATAAAGCCACTGGATGGCGAAACGTCTACAATAAAGGTAACCAGATATTGCACATGTGTCTTAACTTTCATGTTGTCGGTATTGCATACCTGTGTTGCACATGGTTAATCTTATATATAATGATTGTTTCTGTCACGTAACACTAAATGCGTGCTTTATTATATTATATCGGTTTCCAGTTACTATATTCCTCAAACATGTCTCGAGGCACAATAGAATGTCACTCAACTTACAGATATATCGTGTATCTGCTGGCTTGAGAGATTTCCTGACTGTGTGCTCACATACATAATATTGTTTCTGTGCTCTGATTTTCTGTAGCAGGAATAGTATCAGGGAAGTGTGCACCAGGTTCACTTACACCAAAGATCACTTACACTGCCATGGTGGCGACGTATTGCCTGAACCTTCATCTCGCATTTTTCTATTATCCATCTAATGATAGATGGAAATCAGCTTATTTGGGTTTGAGTCCTGTTTTTATTTGGAACATCCAGCTGATGGAAAAAATAACTTCATATTGGTGCCCGTGTTATGTTGCTGTCACTGGTGTTGGTGCTGTCACGGCTGTTGTCACGGCTGGTCTTGGTGCTCTCACGGCTGGTTTTGGTGCTGTCAATTCTGGTTTGGTGCTGTCAAGGCTGTTGTCACGGCTGGTCTTGGTGCTGCATATCGTTTTCTGATACCAACGAAAGCACTATCACTGTCACAATCCCTATCTCCAGCAACAGTATCATTCATCCAAAATACTTTACCATACAAAATGAAACACCACAGGTGAGAGCCAGAAATACTGCGACTCCACAATGGTGTTAGTTTCTAACATCATATAGTCCTCAATTTCAGGGGTAAAAAAACCGTCCAGGTTAGCTGTGTGTGGGAAGACCAGAGGTGGAAGTCACTCATGTATTACACGTTGAAATGACACTTCCTTCATTCCTGGTAGTACGTCCATTTCTGTTACCTTAAAAATTAGAAAATGATTCTCTATTATCATCATCCAGGATTTCACTGCGTTATATAATGGCTTGAGTGACGGTCAGCAGTTGTGAGTCATGTTTACGGGGTGATATTACCTAAAAATAATTAAAATGCACCACGCATACTCATGCGACCTGGATTTTTTCCCCAGCATGCAGGAGGTAGCTAGTGATCCAAACAACATAGCTGAGGTTAAAAATAACTGGGAGCTAGAAAAATTGTGCTTAGTAACACGTTGAACACAGACATCACTCGTATATTAGTACGTTGGATATAGTTTAAAGGATAAACACCACTACCCACTTCTGACATACCATCCTTATTTTAATCCATATATTTCTTGAATCTTTACACTTGTGTTCCCTCTCTTCTATCCCTAATTATTCATATAATGTTATTGCTACTCCCTCCTTAAGGATGATTATCTCAGATATACCTGACGTAATAGCAACGCTCTTCTTGCTGAATACGACAAGCGAAAATTTGTGTATACAGTAATACCGCAAAAATCATTCTGAACCTAACGAGAAAAATATATTTCATTGTATTTGTTTATTATTAAAAAACTGTAAACTTATCTGAAATATATTTAGTTGGATTAGGCTAAATTAAATTGTGCTTGTTATAATAAGGTTAGGTAAGTCTTCTAAGGTTCTTTTGGTACAAAATTATTAGTTTTTACATTAACATAAATATAAAAAAAATATACCTTCAAACGTATAAGAGAACATTTTTTGAAAGAACTTAATTTTAAATGAGTTCTTGGTAAGTGGCCACAGTTTTACCTATTCGGCACGGCATTATATATATATATATATATATATATATAATATATATATATATATATATATATATATATCTTTTCTTTTAACACACCGGCCGTATCCCACCGAGGTGGGGTGGCCCAAAAGGAAAAACAAAAGTTTCTCCTTTTACATTTAGTAATATATACAGGAGAAGAGGTTACTAGCCCCTTGCTCCCGGCATTTTAGTCGCCTCTTACAACACGCATGGCTTACGGAGGAAGAATTCTGTTCCACTTCCCCATGGAGATAAGAGGAAATAAACAAGAATAAGAACTAGAAAGAAAATAGAAGAAAACCCAGAGGGGTGCGTATATATGTGCTTGTACATGTATGTGTAGTGTGACCTAAGTGTAAGTAGAAGTAGCAAGACGTACCTGAAATCTTGCATGTTCATATATATATATATATATATATATATATATATATATATATATATATATATATATATATATATATATATATATATACATATATATATATATATATATATATATATATATATATATATATATATATATATATATATATATATATTTATCCCTACAGCATCAGGTATACTGTGGAGAAAGTATTAAGCATTTCATAAATAGCCATTTTCCAAATTTTTCACAGATCTGTTATTACCCATTTAGGGTTAGCCTATTTTTTTGCCCCCTTTCCAACCTTTATACTTTTCCAGCTATCCTACCTTCTCACAACCCAACCTTCTACCCTCCCCAAGTCTCATTCTACCCACCTGAATATTATTTTCCTTCGTGTGTACAGATGCGACAGCTGCGTGCCCTAAGACAAGGTAATTCCACACTGGCCAACGCACCACTCTCCAACAACTTCAGACCCGTGCAAACTGCCCACCACCGCACCATACGGACTAATATTAACTTCACCAACAAACAGGTGAGTGTAAGACAGCATGACTTCTGGTATTTAGATTACTACAAGACAGTGACTGAAGGTGTTTACATACTCCAAAGTAACGATTAATAGACACTTCCAGGCAACGACTACTGGTATACAGATAATCCCAGGCAACGAATGTTAGTGGTATTGCCTGCGTTGTACAATTACTCCCAGGAAACGACTGTTGCTTTAGCGTTACTCCCAGTTAACGGTATCTGATATATGGATACTCCCAGGTAAAGACAGTTTGAGAATAGATACTCCCAACTAACGACTGTTAGAGTATAGATACTCCCAGGTAACATCTGCTGTTGCATAGATACTCCGAGGTAATACCTCCTTATATGTAGATATCTCCAAGTAACGACTGCTGCTGTATAGATGCTCCAGGGTAACGACTGCTGCTATATAGATGCTCCAAGGTAACGACTGCTGCTATATAGATGCTTCAAGGTAACGACTGCTGCTGTATAGAAGCTCCAAGGTAACGACTGCTGCTATATAGATGTTCCAAGGTAACGACTGCTGCTATATAGATGCTCCAAGTTAACGACTGCTGCTATATAGATGCTCCAAGGTAACGACTGCTGCTATATAGATGTTCCAAGGTAATGACTGCTGCTATACAGATGCTCCGAGGTAACGACTGCTGCTATGTAGATGCTCCAAGGTAACGACTGCTGCTATATAGATGCTCCAAGGTAACGACTGCTGCTATACAGATGCTCCAAGATAACGACTGCTGCTATATAGATGCTGCGAGGTAACGACTGCTGCTGTATAGATGCTCCAAGGCAACGACTGCTGCTGTATAGATGCTAGAAGGTAACAACTGCTACTATATAGATGCTCCAAGGTAACGACTCCTGCTAAATAGATCCTCCAAGGCAACAACTGCTGCTATGTAGATGCTCCAAGGTATCGACTGCTGCTATATAGATGCTCCAAGGTAACGACTCCTGCTATATAGATGCTCCAATGTAACGACTGCTGCTATATAGATGCTCCAAGGTAACGGCTCCTGCTATATAGATGCTCCAAGGCGACGACTGCTGCTATATAGACGCTCCAAGGTAACGACTGCTATATAGATGCTCCAAGGTAACGACTGCTGGTGTATAGATGCTCCAAGTTAACGACTGCTGCTATATAGATGCTCCAATGCAACGACAGCTGCTATATAGATGCTCCAAGATAACGACGGCTGCTATATAGATGCTCCTAGGTAACGACTGCTGCTATATAGATGCTCCAAGGTAACGACTGCTGCTATGTAGATGCTCCAAGGTAACGACTGCTGCTATATAGATGCTCCAAGGTAACGACTCCTGCTATGTTGATGCTCCAAGGTAAGGATTGCTGCTATAGAGATGCTCCAAGTTAACGACTGCTGCTACATAGATGCTCCAAGGTAAGGACTGCTGCTATATAGATGCTCCAAAGTAACGAGAGTGCTGCTATATAGATGCTCCCACATAACAATTGCTGGAAATAATTAATAATGCAAAGTTACACTCAAGTAACGATTATAAACGTATAAATTCTCCCAAGTAACAACTGCTCCAGTACAGAGACTCTTAAGAAACGATTGCTTGTACTTAGATACCCACAGATAACGACAGTTGGTGAATAATTACTCCTAGACAACGAATGCTTATGTATAGACGCACTCAGTTAATTACAGCTGGTGTATAGATGCTTCCCTGCAAACTACTGGTGTATAGATGCTAATAACGAGTGCTGGTGATAGATTATTATTATTATTATAATCAAGGGGAAGCGCTAAACCCGGAGGATTATACAGCGCCTGGGGGGGGGGATGTGGAAGGCATTCAGGCTTAATTCGGGGAACTGGAGCACAGATCCAATTCCCTAAATCAAGAGCCCCTCACCAACATCAAGGAACCTTCCTTGGGGGGGCTGGTGATAGAGCAATTGGACAACTGCGTCCCGGTCATTGCCGTCCCAAGAAATTTGTGTCAGCTTTTTTTTTTTTTTTTTTTTTTTTTTTTTTTTTTTTTGCGCCCCGGACATTGGTGTCCCAATATATGTATACTTCATACAGATTTAATTTGTTATATTACATCTTTGTGTCCTGATTATTTTCATACCATTATATGTATATTTCATAAAAAATATAATTTTAAATATTCATGTGATTTTATCAAAAATATTTTTATTAAACAAGAGATTGTAGCAAACATTTTATTGATTAAAATAATTAGTTTATAAGTCCAAACTTAAAAAGTATGCATGATGTGGACAACCAGAAGATAACACTGAACTACTCCGGTGAATCAGTCGTAAACGAGGCAACCCTCATTTGCTTACACTTATCCTAAATAATTAAACGGTTGATTTTTGACCTGAGATAAGAGGCTTGTCATATTTAACATGGAGTTACGTATAATAGGACGCCAAAGACCGGGCCGCAAATGTCCAGGGAGGCCAAAGACTGGGACGCATTTGATCGGGACACATTCGTCTAGGACGCAAATACCCTTACTACCACGAATGCTGACTGAATCTTAGGAGTAACTACTGCAAGTACTCGCAGATGTCTAAGTGTACCACTACAGCACCAGGCATCATGAAGGGAGGTAGGGTTCATACCACAGTGGACCACTACAGCACCAGGCATCATGAAGGGAGGTAGGGTTCATACCACCGTGGACCACTACAACACCAGGCATCATGAAGGGAGGTAGGGTTCATACCACAGTGGACCACTACAACACCAGGCATCATGAAGGGAGGTAGGGTTCATACCACAGTGAACCACTACAGCACCAGGCATCATGAAGGGAGGTAGGGTTCATACCACAGTGGACCACTACAGCACCAGGCATCATGAAGGGAGGTAGGGTTCATACCACAGTGGACCACTACAGCACCAGGCATCATGAAGGGAGGTTAGGGTTCATACCACAGTGGACCACTACAGCACCAGGCATCATGAAGGGAGGTAGGGTTCATACCACAGTGAACCACTACAGCACCAGGCATCATGAAGGGAGGTAGGGTTCATACCACAGTGAACCACTACAGCACCAGGCATCATGAAGGGAGGTAGGGTTCATACCACAGTGGACCACTACAGCACCAGGCATCATGAAGGGAGGTAGGGTTCATACCACAGCGGACCACTACAACAGGCATCACAAAGGGAGGTAGGGTACATACCACAGTGGACCACTACAGCACCAGGCATCATTAAGGGAGGTAGAGTTAATATCACAGAGGACCACTACAGCACCAGGCATTATTAAGGGAGGTAGAGTTAATATCACAGAGGACCACTACAGCACCAGGCATCATTAAGGGAGGTAGAGTTAATATCACAGAGGACCACTACAGCACCAGGCATCATTAAGGGAGGTAGAGTTAATATCACAGAGGACCGCTACAGCAACAGGCATTACGAGGACAGGACTCATAACACAATAGATTAGAACATTACCAGGCGTCACGGGGTAGGGTTCTTACCGGGTGGAACACTGAAGTAACAGGCACCCTGGAGGGAGGGAGGGTTCATATCAAAGTGGATCTCTAAAACAATATACCTCACGGAGTGGGTTAAGGCTTTTACAACAGTGGAACACCCGAGAACGAGCCATCACGACGTAAGCTACATACCTTAGTGAACCAGAAGTGGAGGGTTGATTTCAGTTAGCCATTACTACCGTACCAGGCATCATAAAACAGGTTTCAAAACACCGTGAACCGCTGCTCTGACAGCAATAGCGGGGAAAGATGATCATGCCACAGTAGACTAATTCAGTACCAAACAATACCACTACAATACCAGTCATGATGAAACAGGATTTTATAAAACAGTGAACCACTACAACAGAAAGAATAGGATAAGGTTGATAACACATTAAATAACTACAGCACAAGGCATCACTGGTAGGGATCATGCCACTGTGAATCATTACAGTACCAGTCATCACAGGAAAGGGTCATGCCAAAATGGACCCTTACAGTACCAAACATCACAGGTTAGGGGTTAATTCACAACAGTGCCAGGCATCACAGTGAGACGTACTGTTCAAAAGACCCTTACCGCATCGTGGTACTGTAGTGGTATTTCCACTGAAGGATCCCAGCAGAAATAAACCACTTTGACATTTTTTGGTTTCTCCTAGACAATTTACATATATGTCACTATGTAGGACAATTTACGTTAACAGTATTTATGTGCAACTACACCTAAATAAACTTATTAAAGTAACATGCATCACTAGGTAGGGTTCCAAGTATAATGGATTGTTGTAGAACCAGACAACACGCGGTAGGGTTCATAACAGTGAACCACTACATTACCAGGAATCATGATCTAAGGTTCTTTACTGAGTGAACAAGAGTACCTGGTGTCACAGTGGTACGGTTAGTACCTCACTAGACCACTACACTATGAGACACAAACGAAAGGGGGGTAGGACTCATTCCACCACTAATGTGCCACGTATCATGGGGAAGCGTTCGTAACAGAGTACCAGGCATGACGGGGTTGGGATAATACCACAGTGGACTATTAAAATACCAGGTAAAACAGAGTAGGTTTCCAAACAGTGTGGACCACCACTTTACCAGGAATAGCGGGAATACGGTTTATATCAAAGTGGACCAATTCACTACCAAACATTCTGAAAAGATGGGAAGAGAAGAGTTTATGTCACAGTAGACCACTACAATACCACGAAACGTAGTGCACGGTTTATACCACAGTGGACCACTACAATACCACGAAACGTAGTGCACGGTTTATACCACAGTGAACCACTACAATACCACGAAACGTAGTGCACGGTTTATACCACAGTGAACCACTACAATACCACGAAACGTAGTGCACGGTTTATACCACAGTGGACCACTACAATTCCACGAAACGTAGAGCATGGTTTATACCACAGTGAACCACTACAATACCACGAAACATAGTGCACGGTTTATACCACAGTGGACCACTACAATACCACGGAAGATAGAACATGGTTTATACCACAGTGGACCACTACAATACCACGGAAGATAGAACATGGTTTATACCACAGTGGGCCACTACAATACCACGGAAGATAGAACATGGTTTATACCACAATGGACCACTACAATACCACGGAAGATAGAACATGGTTTATACCACAGTGGGCCACTACAATACCACGGAAGATAGAACATGGTTTATACCACAATGGACCACTACAATACCACGGAAGATAGAACATGGTTTATACCACAGTGGACCACTACAATACCACGGAAGATAGAACATGGTTTATACCACAGTGGACCACTACAATACCACGGAAGATAGAACATGGTTTATACCACAGTGGACAACTACAATACCACGGAATATAGTGCACGGTTTATACCACAATGGACCACTACAATACCACGGAACATAGTGCACGGTTTATACCACAATGGACCACTACAATACCACGGAAGATAGAACATGGTTTATACCACAGTGGACCACTGCAATACCACTGAAGATAGAACACGGTTTATACCACAGTGGACCACTACAATACCACGGAACATAGTGCACGGTTTATACCACAGTGGACCACTACAATACCACTGAAGATAGAACACGGTTTATACCACAGTGGACCACTGCAATACCACTGAAGATAGAACATGGTTTATACCACAGTGGACCACTACAATACCACGGAACAGAGCATGGTTTATACCACAGTGGACCACTACAATACCACGGAAAGTAGAACATGGTTTATACCACAGTGGACCACTACAATACCACGGAACGTAGAGCATGGTTTATACCACAGTGGACCACTACAATACAAGACACTATAGTGCTCAGCATCACAGGAAGAGTCATACCCCAGTGGACCATTGTAATACCAGGCATCACGAGGTAGGTTTCATTCTTCTGTGGACCACTACACTACCAGGCATCACTGGGAAGAGTCATACCCCAAGGGACCATTACAATACCAGGCATCACGAGTCAGGTTTCATTCCTCTGTGGACCATTACACTACCAGGTGTCACAGGACAGGGTCCATGCCACAGTGGATAATCACAGTACCAGGCATCACAGGGTAGAGTGCCAAATAGTAATCACTATAAAACTAGGCATCACAAAAGGAGGTAGAGCTCATGCCACTGTGGACTGCCACACTACAAGGCATCACAAAGGGAGGTAGAGCTCATACCACAGTGAACTACCACACTACCAGGCATCACAAAGAGAGGTAGAGCTCATGCCACTGTGGACTACCACACTACCAGGCATCACAAAGGGAGGTAGAGCTCATGCCACTGTGGACTACCACACTACCAGGCCTCCCAGGGCAGAGTTCACTCAGCAACAAAATGTTTCAGTACCGTCGAGAAGTTGGATACTGACTTACAATAATGGTTGGCAGTTCCTTCAAAACTTTTCATAAACTTCCTGATTTCAGCAAACATACACTAAACCAGAGCTTTATTTTAATCAGGCAATGATGATAAATTGGTGTTAGAAATAATGAAAATTAGGTTTCTTATTTATCATCATCCTAAAAACCACATGTGCTGCTTCGCAGTTAACTTATGGGATTGCAGTCTATGTTGTTGCTACGTATGCTAGTCTTTTCAGACAAGACGAGGTACGACAGAAGTGATATGTTTTACAAGATCAGGGATGAATCTCAAACAGAAGATCAAAGAATATTTTTACCCAATGCAGAAGTTTGTCACCGACGAGCCTTTGATCCTGCTCAAACGTAGACTGTCGTTCAAGCAGTATATACGAGAATACGCTTTGTATTAAGCTGTTTGTTTTGTGTGATTGTGAGAGCTGCCTGGTGTTGGATCTCACTGTGTACATAGGAAATAAAACATTAAAGGATACCAGGAAGTAATTGGGAATATCTGGTGATGTGGTGAGAAAAATGATGGAAACATATCATTGCAAACTGAGAGTGAAAATGACAGATGTGTGTGTGATACTGTGCGTGGAACACGTAAACAAATGTTCAAGTTCAATACAGGCATTGGTACAGTTGAGTTGCATGTGTTTCACGTGTCACATCATGGCATTTCGGTGACGTGACAAACGTAATGTGACACTGTTGACATCGACTCACCAGCACGAAATGAAAAAAAAAAGACACAAGAAAGGTCAATAGCGACACCAGTGAATCGACTATGATACCAGCTGATGTCACTGATTACTCGATAAACATGCATTTAGTGGGCAAATGTTTCATGCATATTGGGTTTGTCGATTATATTCCAAAAGAACTACAAGTGCTATATGAAACATTCCGTTGTAACATTGCAATGCTCAGTGCAAACAACATGTACCTGATCAAGACTGGCAACAAACCGACATATACCCATATAATACAGAAATATTAGGTCACAACACCTCCATATCACATGTGCCACCGTAGTGATCAGCAAACACCCTCTCGCTGAAGTATGATCACTTTCTAGCTATAATTCCTGCTGCAGGCATGTAGAAATGCGACCAGTAGAAATGCGACCAGTAGAAATGCGACCAGTAGAAATGCGACCAGTAGAAATGCGACCAGTAGAAATGCGTCCAGTAGAAATGCGTCCAGTAGAAATGGCGTCCAGTAAAGTTCATGGACACGCATTCTATGTAGAGGAAGTGTAAAACACAACTATGTATGGAGCCGTGTTTCAGGAACTACCACAGACTGCAACAGTTCCAGGAACATGACCAGTGATTGTATATAATTGTACATAATGTTAGAATGGGTGAAAAATGCAGCAGTCGGACGTGTATGTATTTACCTTGTTCTGAATCATTGTTTTGCCAACAATATATTATTGATATTGTTAGTGTGGGTATTGTGCTGCATACAATGACTAGCCAAGGTATATCAAACATGATTTTGGTGTTATAAGCCACAACAGTTACTGGAAAAGGTAACAAAAAATAGGAAACTAAAAAAAAAGTAAATAAATAAATTTACGAAGTGTGCGACAATCGCTGGTGCTGCAATCAACGGGTCAACGACTTTCAAATTGTAGTCATTAATATATTGGTAAATACGCTGAGAATATTCTTGTGTTAGTCTCATTACAACCACCAAAATAAGTTCTTTTTTCAAGATTTTTCTTTTTTAAACTGCGTCACTGCCAGGACTTTTAATTCCAGGGGGTTACGGCAGTTTCAGAAGATTGTCAACTTCTTTATCAAAGACCGACCTTAACGTGGTCAGGTACTGGCTACTGTTTCCATTTAATGATCTCTAGTGGTCGGTTCGATCATTAGTCCAGCAGAACTAGTTTTACCTGGATTTCTAGAAATGCCTTAGAAAGCTCCGAGACAAACTGCATCACCTGGACCTTCTCGTCTTCAGATAACTCTGGATTAGTTTTCACCTCTGACGTCTTATCGGTTGGATCTAAGGCGATTATATAAAAAAATATCATCTATTGCTGGTCATTGAGTTTTATACACTTGTATTAACCTCATGGATATACTACATAGATATAACCCCATTGATATACTACTGAAACAAAATAAAATCTTCGTCATAAGTGTTCGACAAAAATATTAAGATCACAGTGATATTTCTTAAGTATATTGATATGGTAGGTTTTACATGTACTATTTACAGCAATTATATAATCCACACTTTTACATACCTTGTCCATAAGGTCTTCGCCCAAGAAACTAATAACTTACTAACTTTGTCGGGTAACAACACTAGCACTTTACTGTCTTAAAGTTACGTTTCTGACTCTTCATATCAATTAAGTTTTGTAAATGTTCATAAAGACATTTAAATTTTGTGTTACAAGTTCAGCAATGCCTTTTTACCTTTCATCAAATATGAAAGAAATTGATAAGTGGTTTGCATTAATCCAAAGTTGGTTAAGGATATATAAGGGACGTCTAGCCTGGCGTCCGTACTGGACCTCTAGCCTGGCGTGCGTACTGAACCTCTAGCCTGACGTCCGTACTGGACGTCTAGCCTGACGTCCGTACTGGACCTCTAGCCTGGTGTCCGTACTGGACCTCTAGCCTGGCGTCCGTACTGGACCTCTAACCTGACGTCCGTACTGAACCTCTAACCTGAAGTCCGTACTGGACCTCTAGCCTGGCGTCCGTACTGGACCTCTAACCTGACTTTCGTACTGGACCTCTAGCCTGACGTCCGTACTGGACCTCTAGCCTGACGTTCGTACTGGATCTCTTGCCTGACGTTCGTACTGGACCTCTAGCCTGACGTCCGTACTGGATCTGTAGCCTGACGTTCTTACTGGACCTCTAGCCTGACGTTCGTACTGGACCTCTAGCCTGACGTCCGTACTGGACCTCTAGCCTGACGTTCGTACTGGAGCTCAAATGGTGAAAATCCTAAAAAATCGCTCAGAATGAAGACTATACAGATGGTTTTGGTTAACACAGTTTCTGAAGGATAGATCTGAGGACAGAATGTTATCGGTAAATTCTTTCATTACCACTAGGATGGTACAGCGTTGGAAACACTGGCTTAACACCTACACTCTGAGGTGATATACTTCATCAGTTCGATCCGATGTAAACTGGATTCAAGTTTAAATTAGAAAATAATATAATAGAACCACACAAACATATTGAGCCTCTTAGAAAAGTGGATACCAGTTACTGAATAGACTTTCCGAATTAATGTTAGCAAAACATCTACCTACATTGTCACAGTGTTTCTTGAGACAACAAAGGCCACCTGTGACCCGAGTCACCACAGTATAAAAAAAAGACCAGTGCTTTACTGCTCTCAAATTTAGGGAACTTAGAAACACTTCCCCCACCATCTCTGCATCTGTTGTAAGGTTATCCTCCTTAATAAAGATGTGGATATCATTATAAATTGATGTGTCAAACTGGTCGAGTCTTGAAGTCATATAAGGAATTTGTTTTTCAGTGCCCAGTTAGTGAGTTCAGTAATCAAACATATTGAAAAAATTAAGAAATGAGTTAAGTTCTCCTTTAGATAAATTATAGTGAATATAAATAAAGTGCTATAATAAAGTTTTCATAAATGCATCTAGAACAGCTTCTTTAACATTCCATAATCTGCAACAGTTTCTGCTAATAAAGTTGAATAAATTTTTAATGAACAATAAAGTAATGAAGGTAAGCGAGTTAAGCAGGACTCCCCAGGCGACTCATAAAGCAACAGTTGGCTCCATCCACATGACATATGCTGTAATATTTAAGAAATCGCGATAAAGTGTGTGATTACAAATATGAAAAAAATATCACAGTGAAAATATGAAATTAAACCTGACTGCTGTCATGTGTTTACACACATGTCTTCAAAGAAAGATGTGTGTGTAAGGACGCGTAAACTTTCAGGTTTTATTTCCTGTTTTCACTGTGGTACTTTTTTCACGCTATATGTTCATCAGTGTATGGTGGACTTTGCTGTAGACGCATATTATTTGTAGTTAACGAATGATCAATAATCCCTTAATCCATCTTTTGTTAGACAACCATAACCATGGTTGTTCATGCTGCCCCTCAACACCTGAATCATAATTCTTTCAATTTAATGAAGTGTTTCCGCTTTCCGGCTGTTTCATAACCACCCCATTTTACCCATTCTCTTGTTTCTTCCAGAGTTAATTTCTTCTTTTTTCTCTTCTCTTCAGTCAAAAAATTTCCTCTTTTTATCTTCTCTTCACGCTTTAATTTCTCCCTTTTATGTGCTCTTCGCGCTCTACTCTCTTTGTTTCTTTTCCTATGAAACTAGTTCAATCACCTTCTGAAAGTCTTATCTCCTTCCCCGTAGTCATCCAAAGCTCATGATGACTTGAGTTATCCTCCTCTGGTCCTCAATATAAAGAGTAATCCTCTAAACTTAATGATACATTAAGCAAATATACTGAAGAAAGACTCCAGTAGACTTCCCGTCAATAATTGTTAAGTACAGTCTACACACCAGCATGAATGATTGCCTGATAAAGTCTGTCTATCGTCATCAGATTTTTGACTCCAAGGAATTCGTTACTTAATAAATATAAGATCGTCATTTGTCAAGGAAAAAAAAGGAAGAAGGGTCATAATTTTTTCTCTATTTTCAGCATCTTAGTTAAATAAAATTAACCTAGATTAAACAAGTGTACGGAGTAAGCAAACTTAAGTATAAAATAACACAATTAATCCTGTTAAACCTGAAAATATTTAAAGTTTTCTACACTGTGATGAGTTTGTGGACTATACATGTAGCTGGAGTGCCAGGAGTGCCACGATGTTACATGTAGGGAGAATGATGAGTTAAGTCAAGGATGACCAAGAGAAGACAGCAAAAAGGTTGACACTACTTGGTCGCCTCAGGCAGCTTCGTAAACATCGGCCTAGATCACGCAACTACGTACGAAGTCCGTACAAAATTTTCTAAGACCAATCATGTGCCGACGTCAAGTTGCAAATAATCCTGTTATCATCCAGCAGTCTCCATGAACGACAAAGAAATGAACTAAGGACTGCCAGAAAGCTAAACATTAAAAATAATAGTTTTGAAGGCTAAGGTTTTAGACCATGCTTACATAAGTAAAGAACTCTATTTGGAGCCTTGAAAATATAAGTTAATCCCAGCACCAAAGAACACTAATGCTAACGTGGACTACTGACATGGAGTGGATGACGTGAAGAGAGAAACGTCGCCTTCCCTGATGAAAGAATGGATGATAAGAACAAAAGAAAATACCCTAAGAGTAAAGAGGAAAGACAGCAGATTATGCAACAGAAAAAAAAAGAATTCCCTCAGTACATGACGCCACATACGGCTCCTCTCTCTCAATGAGAACTTTAGACTTTAACAATGAGACTACAATCATAGGAAACAAGCTGTGGACCTTTTTTTAAAAGGATCACGGGGTAGGATTCCTGGCAAAATGGACGACAATAGTACCAAGAATGTCAGGATAGAGTTCATGCCACAGTGAATAGTAACTGTCCCAGGAATCACATGGAAGGATTCATCCACATTCGTTCATTACACTGTAAGGTATCATAAGCTAGGATTCATACCACAGTGTACTACGGTTCGTACCATGACTGACTACTGCAGTAATAGAAACCACAGGGTAAGTCTTAAACCTCGGCGGACCATTACAGTACCAGGGATCATTGGGCAGAGTTTATAATACAGTGTATCATAGGGAGCATTAAAAAAAATGCAAATTTTAGAGATACAAGCTGCACTTTTCAGACATTATTTGTATGGTCACAACAAACTTATGTGCAAAAGTTCAGACAATTTCATGGCCATTTACCCTGCACCATCAAGATCAACTTTTCGTCAAATTATACACCAGTGAAAGCAATTAGTTATAAATTATTGGTTGCCAGGATAATAATCAAGTGAACATGGTTTCTATCATTTTTGGTTGTGAAGATTGTATAATCAAATGTACGTGGGTTATATCAATCATCAACTATTTAATTTTAAACTCTTACAAGTTATAAGTGAAGTCTTTCTTGGTGCGGAACTTGGGCATCACTTTCCTGGAAAATATCCATCTCTTGCCTTCTGTCCAGTCACTTTAGTGCAAGCTTCAGACATCAGTTTTATCCCTCTATCAACAGCTTGAGTGTTGTTCTGCCACTTGGGCACCTCCGGTGGAGTCTCAATAATTTTCGGAACCTGTTGAGCT